TCAGCACGGGTAGACTCCACCACTTGCCCACTTGCCTCAGCCTAAATGTGAGCAACTTCGAAAGGCCACTGCTAGGACCTTCCGGAAGGCCGTGGACTTGGCCTTTCGCTATTGTAGCAGCTACGACCATGACCTTTCTGGACTGTAGCAGCTACGACCTTGACTCTTCGGAAGCTCTACAACTACGACTTCTAGAACTCCCTAAGGCTTCTACTCGACAGGTCTACAGATTGAACCCCTGCTAGCTACGGACCCTACGACAGTCTACCAAAATACACAGGTCACGGGTTCAACTCTCGGGGTCAACACAAATACTGTACACAGGTAAGGTGCTGACTAGGGATCGATCCCTGGGATCTGCATTGGCTACTGCAAACAGGTGAATACCGTTTCACTCCCGCCGGCCTAAATTCGAGGTCCTTCGAGAATAACTCAGTCCAAGGCAGGACCTTTTCCTTTCTTGTCTCTCTCGTAGGCTCTAACTATGTTGGGAGTTGTTTCCAGAAGTTCTATTTTGGTAAACCAGTGGTCGTCCTCCGGCTCCTGATAAGCAAATCGGACCTTATATTGTTTCTGTGGACGACCTCTACCTCCTGTTCTAAGCACATCTTCACCTACAATGTCGTCGAGGTCGTACCTTTCGTCCATGTCTGGAGGGATCATGGACCGTCTAGATGGAAACTGCTGACTGGTGATACACGGCAGCAACTTTGATGCATGAAATACAGGGTAGGTGTGGAGGCGTGCTGGGATCTCTATTGCGTAGGACGGCCCATCCTCCCCGCCCTTAACTTCTAGAACTGGCCACGGTCCTCTATACGCGGGCAGTAACTTCTGCGAGATATTTTCCTCAGGAGCAAACTCTTTGGACTTGCCCCAGACTAAGTCGCCTATTTGGAACTGTGACGGGCGACGTTGCTTATTAGCCTGTTCTATCATCCGATGTTGGGCCTTCCTGAGGTTCTCAACAATAGTAGCTAACTCTTTCTCGTGCTGTATCGCAAACTCCCTGCTACCGGGCGGTAGCCTGTGAATCTGGTCCCGGTTAAGTCCTTCAAATGGTCTACGCGGTCTAAAGGACTTGTGCAACTGATTGGGAGTGCGACAGGTGGACAAGTGCACGCTGTTATTCTACGCACTGGCTACCTTGGGCAACATCTCGTCCCAATTGACTTGATCTGGTCTAATGTACATACGCAGAACTTGCTGCAGGATCTTGTTCATCTGGTCAGTCTGACCGTTAGTCTCTGGGTGACGGTCATATGACATCAACAACTTTGACCCATAAACTCTCATCAGTTCCTGCTAGTTCTAACTCGTGAAGCGGGTATCTCTATCACTAACAATAGACAACGGACGCCATGCTCACTAACCCAAAAGTCGAAAAAAAATTGATTCACTAACTCGGTGCGTGCCTCTACAGGCAAAGGAACAAAAACAGCATATTTGCTAAATCTATCAACTATGACCATGACTTGGCTCTTGCCGTGCCTACTCTTGACGCCAGCGTCCATAAAGTCAATGGACACCGAATCTCCTGGCTGATCAGGAATAGGCAAGGGTCTGACAAGACCTAGAGGGGCACAGGTAGTGGTCTTATTTCTTTGGCAAACTTTACAACTGCAGACGTACTCTATGCAGTCGTTCTTCATTCCTGGCCACGTATACGCATGCATTAGGTTGGCTAAAGTCTTTTGCCAACCAAAGTGTCCCTCCGTGTCGTGGCGTTCCCCTAAGATCAAACTGCGGATCTCCTCACTGTTGGGGACGCACAAACGGTCTACTACGTCGGTCTTCTCAAATAGCAACCCCTCTATAGTGCGGTAATCTGGTTCAGTCTTTGGGCCCTCCTTGACTCTCTTGAGGAGGTCGCTATAAATAGAGTCCTGCGCATATGCCTGTCTAACTTTCTCCTGCAGGTCACTCCCTATATCCAGATAGTGAACTATAGCTCCAAAGTAGTCTGATCTCTTACTTAGAGTGTCTGCAACTACATTGTACTTGCCTTTGACAGGCTTGAGCTCAAAGTCGTATTGGTCTATCTCAACGGCCCACCTAGTCAACTTAGGTGTCATTTTGGACTGTGTCTTCAGCCATCTAAGTGTCTCATTGTCTGAATACACCTTGAAGAGGCTCCCAAGTAGGTAATGTTTCCAGTGCTCTAAGGCCTGCCTGAGAGCGTAGAGTTCTCTTTCGTATGTCGAGGTAGCTACCTTCTCTGAGGGCATCCTCGCTAACATGAACTCTACGGGTCTGTAGCCATTGTCGTCGTTCTGCTGTAACACGGCGCCTATACCATACTGACTCGCGTCCATGGTGACGACAAATGGCAAAGACGGATCTGCTACTTTGAGGACTGGGTACTCTATTAACGCGCGCTTCAACTTCCTTAGCGCAGACGTACAATCTCTATCCCACTGTCGGATCGCCTCTTTCTTGAGCAACCTGCGAAGGGGAGCGACGATAGTCGAGAAGTTCCTCACAAACTTCCTATAGTAATTAGCAAGGCCTAGGAACGACCGCAACTCAGTCAATGTGCGGGGCGTCGGCCAATCTCTAATCGCCGCTATCTTGCTGTCCTCAGGCTTAATGCCATCTCCGTCTAAAACGTGGCCCAGATACAAGACTTGCGTCTTGGCCCACTTGCACTTCTTCGCGTTGATCTTGAAGTTAGCTTCTCTCAGCTTCTCCAAGACCTGCCTCAAATGACCCTGGTGCTCTTGGAGAGTCCTACTGAACACTAAGATGTCGTCTAAGTAAACTACGACGAATCTATCTAACCAAGGTCTAAACAAATCATTCATACAGCGCTGGAATGTGGCAGGCGCATTGGTTAGTCCAAAGGGCATCACTATTAACTTGTAATGCCCATATCTAGTCGGGAACGCAGTCTTGTACTGGTCATCAGGATGGACATCTATCTGATGATATCCGGACTTCAAATCGATCTTTGAAAAGTACTTGCAACCCTGCACCCGATCTAAGAGATCATCTATCCTGGGCAATGGCTCAGCGTTCTTCACCGTGATAGCATTCAGACCCCTATAGTCTAGACACATACGCAATTCTCCTTCCTTCTTGGGGACAAACAATACCGGTGCTCCAAAAGGAGATGAACTGGGCCTAATCCAACCTTTCTCAAGGAGCTCATCCAACTGCTTGCGCAACTCTTCTAACTCCCTAGGGGACATCCTGTAAACTGCTCCCTTAGGAGTCCTACTGCCAGGCTCTATCTCTATACGATGCTGGATTGGTCGTGGCACCACTCCTGACGGCGGCTCTGCAAGGTCTTTGAACTCTTCCAGCAGCTTGGCAATGGTTGGATCCATGGGACTATCCTCTTCCTTAGGCTCAGTGACAGGTCTGACATACACTATGAAGACCTGATCCTCTAACTGCTCCTTTCTTACTAGTCGCGCAAACGCGGGAGCATTGAGACAGCAATGTGCCAAGGAGTTATCTACTCCAGACACATGAAACAGGCGGGCAGTCTTAACCTCGCCTGACGGACTAGGGAGCCTACACTCATGCTCTCTCAAATGAAGTGTGGCCCCTGCTGCCTCTCCTCAGTCCATACCTAGGACGATGTCAAAAGGAAGGTCATCCTGTACGAGGAGAGTCAGGGAATGAAGAACTTTCTCCACCTTCCCATCTTTCTCTAGGCGAAAATACGCCTGGACTCCCTCTGCGTAGTCCTCAACACGCATAGTGCGGTTGTCTGCGAGGACACTAACTATGGGGTCTTCCAACTTTTGGAGTTTTAACCCTAGCCTTAGCTTCTTCAGCGCTTTACGGCTAATATAACTGCGGGTAGCCCCTGAATCTATAAGGGCCCCTATTCTACTTCTAAAAACCTCTACGTCAACTAACACCAACTGTCCTTTACTATCCTTCTTCATTTTGGCCCAGGCAGGCACCCTCTCCTTCAACTCCTCTGCCACGCCTGTGAGGGAAGTGCTTAGAGAGACGCTGACACAAGCAGTCTCTGGACAGCTAACTAGGCATGGGCCTGCAACCTCTGTCGAAGGCTCATGTGGTGTGGGAGTTTCCTGTTCGCGAGCGCTCGCTTCCCCACATGGCCTCGTACTAGGGGCAGTTGCAACCCCTAGCCGCGGCTGCCTTTTGACTCCTGGGCAGCCCATCAGGCCTGTCTATACTTAGGACAATATTTAATAATATGGGCCGGGTCACCGCAATATATGCACTGCCCCTGGTCCATACGTTGTTGCCAAACTCTCTGGTCCAGGCCCAGATCTTCCCAAGGCCGGCCTTGTGGCCAACCTGGGTGCCAACCTCCTCTCCTTTGAGGTGACCCTCCACCTCGTCGCTGCAGGGACCGACTGGGACCTTGACGATTTGGCGGGGAACCTTGACCCCTACCGCCCTCTTGGCGGCTCATTTGACCGCCAACCCCCTGTGCGCCCGGTCCTCGACCTCCCATGGCCTGGCCCCTTTGGTCCTGGCCTCCTCCTCTACTTTGCGGCCTCCCTCCAACCGCGACAACAGCATAGGTCCTCCCCTGGCCTACACTACTGTCTTCCTCCTCGAGCCCCCACTCGATTTGACTGTAGGGGACTTCGTCAGTACCACCTTCGTCTAAAGTAAGGATCAAATGATCCTTGGCCCTAACCTGGCCAGATATGGTCCGACCTTTCCACTTTTTGCCCTTATCCAAGTCCTTATGCCAGAAAGTGGAAACTGGCATGGACCTCGCCTCAAACAGGACCACTTCTCTACTTATCATACGTGATGTTGGCCTGTTGGGTCTTATCAAAGAAGTGACCTCGCAAGGGCTCTGGCATGGCACGATAGAACAATTGGACCAACTGGGTCTCAGTGACCCTGTGGTCTTGGACGGCTACCAAATCGTTCGTGACAGCTTTGAGTGCTCGCGCACTCCTCCACTATCGCGAGTGGATGGTTTGGAGTTTGTTAGAGGCCCTGACGCCCCTCATGACGTGGAGAGAGGGGTGAGCCGAGAATATGCAATCATATTATGCTCACAATCAGTAGCGCGCACAAGGGACCTGGCGAAGCTGGCCGCTTCGTCCTTCAATGCATGGAAGGCTACGAGGAGTTGTTCCTCGGGCACGATATGCTGCAAATACACATATGTATTTATGCTAGCCTCCCAGTTATCAAAACTATCATCCTTTTTCCCGCTATATGTGTCAGGGAATTTGAGCTTTATAGGCTTTTTGCAGGGGCGCGACACGGCCTCTGTCGTGGCCACCACTTTGGCGTCTGCGCAAAACTTCTTTGCGTTTTCCTTTAATCTCTTAACGTCGGTCCCGACGTGGGTCACCACGTCGCGTGCAAACTCTCTGAATCCAGACCGGATGGCATGAAGAGTAACATCTTGACCCTTGTTAGCCTGATGCTCCTCAAGCCAGGCCTCACTCAGAACCTCAAGGTACCCCAGGATCTTGTCCAACTTCGCGGGGGTCTCTGCCTGTGCCTGTCTGCACGCCCGCACTCTCTCCACCTCCCTAGCCATCCGGTTGGCTTCCTGCCTCCTTCTCTTTTCTCCCTCATCATATGCAACTTGCACTCCAACTTTTTTCCATCTTCTTTCGTCTGGCGTTCCAGGGGGTCCTCCATCGCTTCCAATTCCCTGGCAAATGCTTCTCTCTCCTCCTGGGGCACGTACAGTAGTGCCTCCTCATCCTCTCCCAATGATAAATTAGCCACCCACTCGCTAATCTTTTTCTCCATCCATTTGTCCTCCTCCTTCGTGCCATTGCTTTCCCCTCGTCCTTCCCTGCGTCTCCTTTCAAGGGGCTCATCTTCTACCTCTTCCTCTTCTGCCGCTTCTTCTTCAGCAGCCCTCCTCTTCTCTTCCTCCTCCTGCTGTAGCTTCAACATCTCCTCCTTCTGTAATCTCACCATCTCCTCTTCCAACTTCTTCTTCTTCGCCGCCTGCTCCTACGCTATCGCCTTCAACTTCGCTTGCTTGAGGAGCTCCTTCTTCTCCCTTCTCTCTCTCAGTAGGGCGGCGGCTCGCTCCTCTTGATCTTGGGTGTAGGGGGCAGTACTCTTCCGACTACGGGTGTCAACCATGGTGTCTGGTGCACAACCGAACAACGGTTCCACTCCTCACCACTTAGACTCTACCCCCTGATTGACACGACCTACTGACTCAATCTAAGGACTTACAGAATCCGAACAGGATCCTGCCAACTAGGGTCTCTAGCCTAGACCTACTCTTAAGGCTGTCACTACAGGACCTGTTGCTGATCAAGAGGCATTTAAGGAGATCCCCCGTAACTCCTCAGGAATTATTTAACATCGCAGACAGGACGACGCGATCAGCAGGTCCTCTCAAGACTTAGACGGCCTGTTGTGCAGCCCACAACTCGGATTTTGGGCCTACCGTGCCACACCGAGCAGCCCGCCGGTCAGTACYGGTCCTTGGGAGGGTTCGTGTCCTCCGGGACAGTCGAGTCGTCAGACACRGTCTTTAGCCCTACTCAGCCCGTGTGGGTTTGGTCAACAAGGCCCTATCCTTCAWCCACARAGTTCCTATCACCTRGACAGAAGAGACTCAATGCAGAAAGAAGAGATAGACAGACTTGACTCAGCAAGTACCACAGGGTGTGTGCACATCCATAGGGCGAGGGGATAGGCTGAAGGCTTGGCGAGATTATACCGGCTCCAGCTTGGTCAAAGTCGTGGTCAACGGCCTTGGTCAACGCCTTGGTCAACGCTTGGTCAACACGGCAGTCAACCCTCGGTCAACTCCGGTCAACGCCCGGTCAACTCCCCCGGTCAACTCTCCCGGTCAGCTATGGCTGCCGTCTTCTCCTTCCTCGCCACCCTTCTCCTTACTTCCTCTTTCCTCTCCTCTTTCTCCTTCACCCCAGTTGTCTACTCTTGTCTCTTTCTCTTTTTTTTTTTTTTTTTTGTTCGTCTCTCCCTTCACCTTCCTCCGCTTCACTTTCCTCTTCGGTCTCTCCCTCTGTCCTCCCTTTCACCTTCTTCGTCACTCTGTGTACTAGCTCCGCGGCTATGGCCGCCTCTTCACTTTGTGGGACTGGACGGCGCTCTTCGCAGGTACGTGACAACCAAACTTGTATCGCTCATCTCTCTCTCTCTCTCTCTCTCTCTCTCTCTCTCTCTCTCTCTCTCTCTCTCTCTCTCTCTCT